CGCAGTACTCCAACTGAGGTCTGACCAGCGCCCGATAGAGGGGAAGTATCACCTCCTTGGACCTATTCGTCATGCATCTGCTGATGCACGATAAAGTGCCATTGGCTTTTTTGATGGCTAGCAGAGGTTTGAGAGGCACAGACCCAAATCCACCTTTACCTGATGGAGGAAACTCGGTGCAGGTTAAGAAGCTGCACCCCAGCCGGAAGAAGCCCTCACACTTGATCAATCCTGCATTCGAGGAATTATCTATGCAAGACTAAGAGAGAAAATCTTTACTCCTCGTTGGTCCAGTCCCAGTGCCAGGAGCAAACTCCTCTCACCAAAAAGCCCTTGGGCTTCAAGGATGTAACAACAGCCCTTTAGCCACTTCATCAGACAGCAAAACTCAAGTAGAGACAGAGGAGCTGGTGTCCTAGGACAGTTAAGGCCACCTAGTCAGCTTGGACCCCATAAAGCCAATAAAGGCAATGACATGGGCCATGTGTAATCCCTGCCAGGATGGATCTCATTCCTGGTTTATACTAGCACAACCTGGAGTTTCCCACCTTTCCTCAAATGCCACTTTTTACAAAGTCAATGGGAGCATGGCCTGAGTAACACCTGCAGGATTAGCCTTATTCATGGTGGTTACAGGCTACACCGAGAGACGGCAGCATCTCCATCCTTGCAGATTTTCAACATCAAGGACTGGGGTGATTTAGGCAGGGATGGGGTTGGACTAGATGACTTGCCAGTCTGTGTCGGTCCTTCTGGATGTCTCTATTTTCTGTGCTCTGTTACTTTGCTGAGCCGCTTTGAGGCTAGCCAACAAAACCACGGGGCGTTCACACCCGGCACAGTGCCCACTAGAAGCAGGCTCTGTGCCTGGCTCTCCACGGCCTTGCATCCAGTCTTGTCTGCACACAGTCCATCGACTGACACCGATTCATGCCCCCCAGGGCTCTACTGGTCTCTGTGAAGCGACACTGGTTTCCAGCCACAGGCAAGCTAGCATTGCTGACTCAAAGGGAGTTGCACCAGTTCGTGCCAGTGGGTTATCTGGCCCCTCTGCAATGAGACACTGAGTCTTTTCTTATAGGAAAGGGTGCCCCCAAAATAGTGGTACTGAGATGCTCAAATTGAGATGCCCCATGAACTGAGATGCTCAAAACTGGACTATAGGGAGATGGGAGAGGACAGGGGGGCAAAGGTGAGGCCATAACACACTCCTCTAATGACTTCTGTGCCTCAGTAACGCATGCACCTGTTGCCTTGAGCGTGCCGCTCTCTTATGGGCAGGTGAGCCCATGTGGGGCAGAAATCACCAAATGCTGAATGATTTGCTCCATCTGCAAGTGGAGACCTTGTGTTGCTCTCAGGGTGAGGGATTAGATGCTCTCTACATAGCAGGGCATCAGAGAGAGCAAGGGGAGCTTGATCCCATCACCTGAAGATCCTCGTGTCCTGATGGTGTGTGCCCTCTCTTATCCCAGAGCAAATCTGCAGTGACTTTCAACCAGTCCAACGCTTACATTTATCCTACCTGAGCTGGGAGCAAACTGTGCTCCTACCTGTGCATATGCCATTGAGGCACATCAGTCATTAGAGGAGTGTGATGTGGCCTCACCTCTGCCTCCCTGTCCCTTAGCAGAAGATAGTCCTGGGACCTTAAAACTCCCCAGCTGTGAAGTGTGAATCGAATCACACCTGCAATCTGTAGGTCCCCAACCATGTCATCCCCCGTTGCCAATACCAGGTCCAGTATGACATTCCCCCTAGTGGGACCGTGTACCTCCTGTGTCAGATGGAGGTCCTGTACACAGGTTAGAAGCCTGCGTGAGCGGTGGGACTTTGCTGTCTGTGACTCCCAGCAGATGTCCGGGTAGTTTAGGTCCCCCATGACTACTGCCTCTTTAGCTTTTATGGTCTCCGAGAGTTGCCTCAGGAGCCCCGAATCTCTTTCTTCCCCTTGATGTGGGGGTCTGTAGCAGACCCTTACCACCAAATCCCTTTCTCCTTGGCCCCCATGTAGCCTAACCCACAATCCTTCTACCTCCTCATCCTTGGATTCCGTCTTGATGAGGGTTGACGTATATTGCTCACTGACATAGAGCTCAACCCCTCCCCCTTTCTTCCCCACCCTGTCCTTTCTGTACAATCTATAGCCCTCAATATGTACTGCCCAGTCGTGGGATGAATCCCACCAGGTTTCTGTTAGCCCCACTAAGTCATAGGTGTTTAGTGCAAGCAGGAGTGCTAGTTCATCCTGCTTGTTCCCCATGCTCCTAGCATTAGTATATAGGCACTTGAGCCCTGCGACTGGTGCCTTTGCTGCCCCCCCGCTCCGAGTCCCAAGGGGCCCTTTGTTTCTTACCTTCTCGTTACTTACCTGTCTCGTAGTGCTGGCCTCCCCATGGCTTTCAGGTTCCCAATGCTCTCTTTCTTCAGGCTGGGCTGTCCTTGTGGGTGCCACATGGTTTGGTGGTCCACAGCTTCCCCTGCCCTCATCTTCCTCTCCCTCCGACGAGCCTAGTCTCAAATGCACCTCAAAGCACCTTGCTTTAGAATTATTGTTCTAAAACTTTGCCTTCTCTATATTTAAGATAGAGAGAGGTTGCTACCTGTGTTGTTCTGAAGTTTGGTAGAAGGCATGGCAGGGTGTAATTGCGATTTTACCTTATGGGGAAAAGACAGGGCAGGATGGCACCTTTTAGAGACTAAACTTGTTCAGAAAGGAATAAGCTATCACAGTTGACAGACTAGCATCTGCTGAAGTAGTAGGCTATTGCCTAAGAACTCTTATCCCTTTTTGAATGAGTTAGTTGGCAGGATGGCACCCTGCCCTGCCTTCTACCTGTAGCTAAGGTGCATTTGCAGTTACAATAAGAAGCTGACTTTTTTTTTTTTTTGTCTCCCTTTTAACTTCTTCACTTAGACAATATTTGGTTTGTCTCTGATTTGTCTGGGAATCTGTTTGGAAATTTTTGGATAAATTGAATGCTTTTGAGGTTAAAGATTTTAAAATAACTGAAAATTCTTGCTACTGTCTGTTCCAGTCTCAGTCTGCTCAACCAGATCATGTCTCATCACAGAACTAGAAAAGTAGGTAGGCTCTTTGATTCATGCAGGAGTCAGTTTTCAAGTATACAGAGAACAAAATGTTTCTGGAATTGCCATTTCAGAATTGTTTACAGTTTCTCACTGGCAGTTATTCAGATGGCTTTAATATGAAGAAAGGAGGTTTGCAGGAAAGGTTGGCTGAACTCTTCCTCTCTCATTTTGAGGAAAGTACCTGAGGAAGAGTTTGTCATGTTCAACATACTTTGTATGTCACTTTTTCCCAGGCTTTGTAACAAACAGGAGATGGTCTTGTCTACTTAACCCAAATACTTCTCATTTGAATGAATTGCAGTCAGACAATTTAAGCTACATTTCAAGTACCTAAACAAACAAACAAAAAAGGAAAAATGCAGCACTCTCCTAGCTAGTCTTGAAACTTGCATCTTTCCTAAAAGCAAGAAATTGACTAGATATAGAACATAAGACTTACTCATAAAATAACAATCTTTATATTGAATAAGTAGCTTGTTGTATTATACCTTTTTTAAATGCGACACAAGTATTCCACTTGTTAATAAACTCAAAATATTTGGAAAAATCAGCACAAGAATCTGAGTCAATAGTCAGATTAGTCCATGCAACAGCAGCTAGTTTGAGCTTGACTTAAATTTAAAAAATGGGTTGTCAGGAGGATATCCCTTATAATGTAGTTCATTAACTGGATTTCTGTGGCCTTGTAATGACTGCTTCCATGTTGGAACACACCTCTTGCAGAAAATATATGCACATTAGATATATCTTTATACTAGCTTTTAATCATTTAGCAGCTGTTTTCTATTTTAAAAACTGACTTGGCTAATGTTGTTTTTCCTCTTTCAGCTGATGCAGCCCAGCAATTTCAGTATGCAGTGAGAGTCATTGGAAGCAACTTTGCTCCTACTGTTGAAAGAGATGAATTCCTCGTGGCAGAGAAAATCAAGAAAGAACGTATGTCTATCTGTCTTTTTTCATCTATTAAAAGTTATTCAGATTCAAGCTCTTAGGCATCAACATGTGCATTTATTGCACTGTTCCTAAAATATAAAAAATTATACTTTTTTGGGGTGGGAGTGCCAAACCCTTTGGCTTCTATCCACTGTGTTCTGTTTCCTTAAAAACAAAAGGGGTACACTCCCTGCCTAGCCACTCACAGTCATAAAATCATAGAAAATTAGAGTTGGAAGGAACCTCAGGAGGTCATCTAGTCCAACCCCTTGCTCAAAGCAGGGCCGTCCCCAACTAGATCATTTCAGCTAGGGCTTTGTCAAGCCGGGCCTTAACCTCCAAGGATGGTGATTCCATCACCTCTCTAGGTAACCTGTGCCAGTGCTTCTTACCACCCTCGACGTGAGTGGGGTTTTTTTTTGTTTTTTTTCCCCAATATCCAACCTAAACCTCCCTTGCTGCAACTTGAGACCGTTGCTCGTTGTTCTGTCATCTGCCACCACTGAGAGCAGTCTAGCTTCATCCTCTTTGGAACCACCCTTCAGGTAGTTAAAGACTGTTGTCAACCCCTCCCTCCCCCACTCTCCTGCAGACTAAGTAAACCCAGTTCCCTCATGCTCTCCTCAGAAGTCATGTGTTCCAGCCCGCAAACCATTTTCATTGCTCTCCGTTGGACTCTCTCCTCTTTATCCACATCCTTTCTATAGTTGGGGAGCCCAGAACTGGACACAGTACTCCAGATGTGGTCTCACCAGTGCAGAATAGAGGGGAATAATTACTTCCCTTAATCTACTGGCAACACTTCTACTTATGCAGCCCAGTATGCTGCTAGTCATTTTGGCAACCAGGGCACACTGCTGACTTGTATCTATCTTATTGTTTACTGTAACCCCCAGGTCCTTTTCTGCACAGTTGCTTCTTAGCCGGTCAGTCCCCAGGCTGTAGCGGTGCATGGGATTCTTCTATTCCAAGGCCAGGAGTTGTCCTTGCTGAACCTTGTGAGATTCCTTTTGGCCCAGTCCTCCAATTTGTCTAGGTCGCTTTGAATCTTAACCCACCCCTCCAGTGTATCTATTGCACCCCCTAGCTTGGTGTCATCCACAAACTTGCTGATATGTACCAAACATGGAAATATCTGTGTTGTGCCTGAGTGGCACTGGGGCATAGCACTAGAGCAGCTTCACTTCTCGCTTTTGGCCTTGGCTAATATTTTGTGGATTGGGAACTAATAGGTGAGATGTGGTGGAGAACTGTTCCCTAGGAAGTTTGAAAACCACTTCCATAAAGTCACAGAACCCTTTCCATATAACTTCTGTTTCTTCTTCAGAAGACTAACACAGAACCAGGTGACTCAGTCTGGCAATGGCAATTCATTGTCTCCTGGCCCACTCTACCATTACTCCTATTCTCTTTGCCAAATCCCTGATGACCTACAGCAGAATCCCTGGGTTCCATGGAACACAGTTTGACAACTTGCCGTATAGAACACTGGGAAACAGTGCAGACATCCTGGGAAGTATGGCTACAGTATGGATGCAGCATATCTTCCTTGCAAAGCAAAATACTGTTGTGAAGATTCTTAATTTTATGGCAAAATGTGCAAGCAAATCATGTAAGGAAATATTCAAATAAATTAGAAACTCCTGCTTATGCTCAATACCTCTGAGGACCTCAGCATTTCTGTTGAAATGGATCCAGATTGACATGCATCATAAGATGTGACTTTTCTTGAATATCTAAATTAGAGTTCTTGTTGCCTTCTTCAGAGGACTTGTAGAATTCTTTAGTCAAGTTTCAAGGCTGTTCTTCAGTAGGGCCTTTTTTACATTTAAGGGTTTCTGTATATTTTGGTCAATACTGAGTAATGTAGCTTATGCACATACTTGATTGTGTCTGTTTTGATACTACCATGGATTCTCTCCATCCAATTTTTCCCTTCCCCTCATTGTTGTGGTTTGTTGTTGTTGTTGTGCTTATGAAAATAAATAGCTGGGTAATCATTGCTTCTTTGATTTATTTTATTTCAGAGTTGTAGTGCAGGAAATAACTTTGGGCAAAAAAATCTTAGCAACAGCTTTCAATACTGGCATGTAGAACATTTAACAAGGATTGCTTTATTATTTAGATGGCTGTGGCATTTGATTTATATGGCTCTTTTAATGTAGTCTGGTCTCTTTGAAGATCTCTGAAGGCCTGAATAAATTTGCCTCTGAAGAAAGAATGTTATTTAATAGTGTACAAGATTGAGACCTGAGGTGGTTGTCTTTTGGTGTATTGAGATTCTAGACAAAACAATGCCCTTGAGTGGCTGTGTGAGGCTGAGCAAGTTGCTTCACTTGCCTGTGCCTCAGTCTTCCCACATGTACAATGGGATCAATGATATTTAAATTTTGTAAAGTAGTTTATATCTTGAGAGAGAACACATTTTGAAAACATGGATGTCAAACACGTGGTCTGTTGACTTGGTCCAGACTATGGGGCTCTTGGAGGGGCTGGGAATTTGGAGGTAGGGTGAGTGCATATAGAGCCCGATGCAGGATTTCAGGGTACAGCGCTCCATTGGATATGAGTTTCTGTAGTAGTTGGGTGAGGGCTGGCTGCATTAACTCCTTACAGGCCCCTGACACCCTTAACCCTTGGTCTGGATCTGGCCCAAAAGGGCCCCCATGATCCCTTTCAATCCGAGGGGTCCTGTTTTAAGTGAAAGAAGATTTCATAAAAGGTTTGCCTCCCTTAAACCTGCCCAAATAAATGTGTGTCAAATTCTTCATTGTTGGGTGGAAGGAATAGTTCTATTATGCTTAACAGCAAATGAATACATTTGTCAGTTTTAATTTTTTTATTTTTGGACAAAACCAGTTTTAAAAACAAAACCAGCCTTTAAGCAGAGCTATGGAGAATATAAAAATGTCAGTGGATACTTAAGACTGGGTCCATGTAGGTCATGAATGCTAGAATAATTTTTATTGAGCTTCAGTACCTTGGGATCATAATAGGATTTAGTTGGATTTAATGGGATTTATGTCGTTTTTTTTCTCTTTGGTTCTAACTGGTACTGTCCAAAAATCGTTATTCTCTAGTAACTGCAATGGCTTATATGAAATTCCTCTTTTTGTTCCAATACCGGCACACTTAACATTCAGGTTAGTCTTAGCAAAAGCCATTTTTAGCAGCCAAGGAATGTGTTGATCTGTACTGAAATGCCTCAATGTGCTTTCATGTGACGTCTCAGGATGAGTGCTGGAATTTTATTTTCAATTTAGCAAACTTTCTTTTTACAGTTGTCAGACAAAGAAGGGAAGCAGATGCTGCTTTATTTTCGGAGCTCTACAGAAAACTCAGTTCACAGGTACAGTAATAGTGTTTTATAGTCATTTTGCTGTGCAGAAGGAAACTGAAAGCACAGGTACATTACCCTTGTACATAACTTGACATTGCACTGGGTAGCAAACAGTTGGAGTGTGGTTTCGTAAAAATGAATTATTATTACTAATATGTTGCTTCTGGACTTGCTGCTAAATCACTATTAACGCAAAAGCAAGAGATTAGCTCGGATGAAAATAAAATTGGAAAAAAATCAACAGTATTATTTTAGTTCAAGTACAACTGCCTGAAGGACACTTTATGGGAAGGAAGTAGCTTTGTAAAAATAGAAATGCTTGTTTTAATATGTAAAATTGAAGGATTTATCTCACTGCCATTTATTTTAGGATAATGTGTTCTGCAGTGTATTGATTCATTTTTGTTTGGTTGGGTTTTTTTCTTTAAAGTTAAAACAGCCCTCTTGAATTTTAAGCAATCTGAGGTTTTCATGCAGAAGGTTGAGGTTTCTTCTGTCTGTTCTACTCGCACACTCATGGGCGCACATGCTGAAGGGTTTCAGCCACAGAAGAGTCCCCTGCCTAATGTGCTTCTCCAGTTCAACCTGGAGGAGTGCATTGTGAGGCAGGTACAGGGCTGGAGGCCTCCCAGAGCCCCAAGTGGGTCCAGCCCTGGGAGAATTTTAGTTGATTGACAGGACAGGTTGGGGGACTGTTCTCTAGTGGGAACCCTCTGGGAGCCCTGGGAAAGTTCATGCTGAGGGAGAAGAGCTCTTGCTCTGTGCATGCCTCTATGTCCCCTGGGAGGCATATGTGGGGAGGGGCAGGGGACAGTTCTCTCATGGCTGCAAGGCTGTCTGCACTTGGCCAGCTTTGCAGCCACAGGAAAACTGTTTCCCACTACTCCTTTCCCCTCCTGTGCCTCCTGGTAGAATTAGAGTGGGGGTGGGAGATGCTGTCATAGCTGGAAGGCTGCCGAGGTTTGGGTAGCTTGATAGCTGTGCCATGGCTGCAAGGCTGTCCTGGACTCGGGGAGGTTGTTGTTGAGCCCAGTTCCTGGCCTCCCGCAGCAGGGACAGGGGTCTTAAAGCCTTGGGGACCAGGAACAGAACCCAGGAAAGCTGTTTCCTTCCAGTTCACGGTGTCACAGACTTTAAATGCCGTATGTGGTGCTAGGTGCCGCACAGCAATTTAAAAGCCAGGGAGCCAGAACAAAGGATCAGAGAAGTTGTCCTCAGACCTGGTTCCCTGTACCTCCAACTTTGAGTCACCTTATGTGCAGCCGATCTGGGCTACACAGGAGTTACTTTTAAAATCTGCGGGCTGCCTTTTGATATCCTGCCCTCTTTGCAGGCAGGGGTGAGAACTAGTTTTCAAGTAATGGGTTCCCCTGAGGGTGGTGGCCCGGAGAGAAGCCCCATAGTGCCCCCTGGCTGGAGAGCTTGCCTGTGTAGCTCTTTAGCCAGGCAGCTGGAACACATGTATGCTCCAGGTCCCGCGCTATTTTTGTACCGGTAAGAAATTCTTACCTGTAGACATGGGCATATGTACCTGGCTCTGGATTAGTTTTCAACTAATCCTGCTGTGTATTCTTATGTCTTTCAACGTGTAAAATGGCTTGTTTATCTCTACCGACCTCTTCAACGCACCTTTAGTTTCTCTCCAGTGCCCTTTTCCTTGTCTCTTACTTTTGTATTTAGATTCTTATTCCAATTTCAAATTTCTTTGTTTTATACCATTTCTTTCTGTAAGTCTATTTATAACATTTGATGAAGTAGGCTGTTGTCTACAAAAGCTTATGTCTCTCTGAATGACTGACTTTCTAAGATACTGGTTCTCAACCTTTTTATGTGCAAGATTACCCTTCTGAAAATGTCAACTCTTAATTTTCACTTCGTTTTTGACTACATAAACATAATATAGCAGTTCTTCTCTTGCAAAGAACTCCAGAATGGCCACAACAGGTCAAAATATTTTTAACGCTTTGGATTCCTTTTTGAAATCTCCAAATTGTGTTCTTGGCACCAGTCTACGAGGTGCCTTGAGATCCTTTTAAAGGTGCCAAGGGGTGCCGCAGAATGTTAGCACTGTTAAGTACGCAAACAAGATTCACAAGATATATCTTCCTTTCACAACACTATACTTGTGAATCTTGTTTGCATACTTAACAGTGCTAACGTTGTGTGGCACCCCTTGGCACCTTTAAAAGGATCTCAAGGCACCTCACAGGCTGGTGCCAAGAGCTGAATTTGGCTTGGGGACCTGGAGGTTGAGCACTCCTTATTTTCCATTTGTCAAAGATGGATATGGAAAAAAGAAAACAGGTGGAAGACAATATTCAGTATTTTCATTATTGTTACCTTTTGGTTTTAGTCACATTATGAAAGTTATCTTGTAAAAACCCTAAGAAATCAGGACTTCTTGCATACAGTTGAATTTCTTGTCTTGAGAAGCTTGCATTGGCATTTTGCAGAGGTTAATGCAGAGTTATAAAATCCTGGGTCTGTCCCAAGCTACCCTATCTTCAAGGCATTAAGGAAATTAATGGTCCAAGTGTCAGGAGCTTAGTAGAGTCCATCTTGTCACTTAGGACAGCATATTAAAAAAGAACCTGAAGGTAATGGTGTGGGCTAGATGTTATTGAGTGAAGTGACCTAGAATGCATTACTTTTGTATTAAGCTGGCAAAGGTACAACTATCTAAGAAGGTGTTTGCTTTTTAGTGTTATGGAGGGAAGTATATAGTAAGTCTCCTACTCCATTGTTTAAGGAACAGGTAGAGAAAAGAATCCAAATTGAAAAACGTCTTCTTTCCACAGATTGAAAGAACAACGTATAGGAAAGCAAAATATTCTTGTAACTTTTATTGTCATTTACATTTTTCTTACCAAATACACTTTTGAGCAGAAACCTTTTGAACCTTTCAGTCTTACAAATTGAGCTTGCTAGTGCAGTTACCAAGGGCTGAAGATATTACTTTGAACTGTACTATAAATAGGATCGACTTTGAGTAGCCAGGATTATTTGTTTATTTTGGGATACCCAAAACTTTATGAAAATTTAGCACTATATAATTTTGCTAGCTTACAGACCTGTTCGGTTTGTTTGTTTGTTTTTTCAAATTAAGAGAAATTGGCTTTTGAACACTTGAGTCTTTTCTGAACAACTCTACAGCTAAATCTCTGTATGAAATGGTAGATCAGTAAATTTAGAAGCATTTTAGCTGCCAGTTCCTTTGTGTTTGCCATAAGAATAAACCTGTGTCTAACTATATTAATGTGCAGTCAAATGAAAAAGGGAATTTGTATGTTTCTTTTATTTTTTAAAGCAGAGCTGTCCAACTGGTGGTTAAGTTGTGGCCCCCAGGGCTTCTGCCTGGCCACTGCTTCCGCCATTGCAACAGCAGCCAGTCCCTGGGCTCCCCTTCCCTCTTTCATCTTCTGTTTTCTTAACCTTTTCCTGGGGGTGATGCACCATGCCACAATCTGCAGGGAGCTGAGGGTGAGGCTAGGGCTGCATGGGTGCACAGTGCTAGTGGGAGGTGGGGAGGAGTTCCTGCATGAGCATGTGGTGCAGGGGGTATGTGCAGGCTCCTGTGCGGTGCAGCTGGTGGAGGGGTGGATCTGTGTGGTGGACAGCCCAGAGGCCTGTGGCTTGCCCTGGTACAGCCTGCAGGACAGGAAGCCCCCAGCTGCTTTGAAGTTGAACAGTCCTCCCTTAAAGGATAACTTGGAGTTTATCTGGCTTGGAATTTCATTAGATCACATTACCTCCTGAGATTTAGAAGGCTGCTGCTGATATGCCTCAATATAGCATCCTGCATCTCCACTTGTTTTTTCTGTTGGATTTTGTTCCATTTGATACATTAGCTGTTGTATGTAGCTAATATCTCAGGTTGGCTATGTTTTGGTAGCTATTACACTGTAAACACTGGGTCTCTTTCTCTGTGTATTTTGTTTAAAGTAATACCAAATTAGAGCTCTCTAACTTTGAGGCCTCCCTAAAATGTGAGCAGCGGAGAATGGGAGTGGTATGTTGAATTTCACAAGGATCCTGCCCTTATCTTGGAAAGCAAGGACTAGTCCAAGGTAACTTGGATCAGAGACTATGAGTTGCCTGCATGCTAGGTAGAGGGGGTTAGAGTAAAATGGAATGAAATCTAGAGATAGTTGTGAAACACAGTCTTTATTGTTATCTAATGTATTCTTATCTCCCCGAGTAGGGCGTTTTGAAAAATAAATGGTCAATACTCTACCTCCTGCTCAGCCTTAGTGAAGATCCACGTAAACAGTCCAACAAGGTAGGTGATGTGTTCTTTAATATTTGGCAATTGTCTTGGTTTAAATAGCAATTTTAAGAGGAGTTGCTATCCAGAGCATCACCTTTAAATTGCCTATACAAGTGCTCCCAGACTAGAAAAGTTGCATTGTTTTAGTGTAGATTTGAACTTAATTTGCAGTTAGAAGTAGAGAACATGAAGTATTAATATAATTTGATGAAAGAACTTGCAAGTATATTTCTTGTCTTGTCGTCCTTAGGTATCAAGTTACGCTGCACTGTTTGCTCAAGCATTGCCACGAGATGCACACTCAACCCCATACTACTATGCCAGGCCTCAGACCCTTCCACTGAATTACCAGGACCGGAGCACTCAGTCTGCCCAGAGCTCTGGAAGCATGGGGAGCAGTGGAATCAGCAGCATAAGCATGTATGCTCTGAATGGGCCAACGCCAACTCCACAATCCCTCCTTCCAGGGTAAATTGAAATCTTCATTGCAAATAGGTCTTGGTGATCAGTAAATACTTGGAGGTCTTTATCCAAAGATTTTTAATCTGGAACAATTGCCCAGTCTCATTATATCTATGCACCATTTCAAAACACTTTACATGATGGCAAGTGCTAGGACACTTTGGGTATCTACTCACTTGACTCGGAACCCTGTACTGGTTAAGCCTGTGTCATCTAGTGCATCGTTGAATTGGCAGCACCAGGCGTGCTCAACTAAATCTGGTCCCTGGAGCCAAGTCTGACGGCTTGTGGGGCTTGTCACGGATCCTGTGGGAAGCACTGTGGGCCATGGGCCTAGGTGCTAGATGAAGCACACAGGAGTGACATGGGGCCTGGGCAGAAGCTTCCACTCTCCAGAAGCTACTGGGGGTGGTGCAGGACCAGGTGGTCAGGTTGAGGTTGGGTTGGTCATGTAACAACCAGACCCGAGCTGCTTGCTGCAGCCGGCACCTCCTGGAGCTGGCTGCTCCTGCCACTTGCTCCTCATTTGTTTTCAGAAAGGCGGGTAATAATTTTCTAAATCCAGGGTTTTCTACCTTTTTTAGTTTAAGTACCCCCAGTGGCTGGATGCCAAGTGTAGGGGTGGGGTGCAGGGTAGCGTGCAGCCGGACATGGAGCGGGGAAAGAGCGCCACCACTGCCTCCCAGGAGCAGGGCCGGGGTGGGGCGGGGAAGCTCACTAGGCTGGGGTGAGGGCAGTGGTACCCCTTTGCAGGGTAGGGAAGCTCATGGGCTGGTATGTGGCTGCAGTGGCCGCCACGTGTGAGCTTCCTTACCCCACAGAGGGGCGCCCTTGTCCTGCCCCAGCCCTGCTTCTGGGAGGCGATAGCACTGTGTCCCTGCCTGGCCGCGTACTTCCTAGGACCGGTCCAAGTACCCCCAGGGGTATGCATACCCCCGGTTGATAACCCCTAGCCTAAATTTTAGAGGGCCCCTGCGGGCTGGATAGAATGGCCTGGTGGGCCATATGTGGCCCACAGGATGTATTTTACCTGCCCTTGGGGTAGAGTATAATTAAAAAATGTGACCAAAAGGATAACAGTCTTCTTTAACCTCTGAATAAGAGACTCTGGCAGCATGCTGGCTGAATTAGGACCAGTCTTACTTCTCATACAACTTCCTCCTTGCCTGGATGCACTCTAAGAACAAGGGTTGGATACAACATGCAGACCTTTATGTGGTATTTTTGATGGCTTGGATGGTAGTTGTCTGAGCATCTCTTATAGGATCTGTTCCTGGCATATGCAGCAAATCTTGAAACCAGAACAGGAAAACTTCTACCGGAAAGGATCTGTTAATCGGGTTATGTTACTGTGTACACCACGGGGGTGAGGGTTAGGGAGACTTCTGTTTTGCTGGAGACTTAAATTCCAAATATTCCAGGACTTTCTTTTGCTTCTAAAACCATCTGACTTTGCTCCTTCAAGGTGCAAAGGACAGTGTTAGCACCCTATTGTGCCCCAATCCAATCCATGTTTTCTTTTCTTGCACTTCATGGTGGCAAGAATCATCAGAGGTCTCCTCCTGGGTTTCTACCACATGGATACCCAGGTTCCATCTGGGACTATAATGTGCTGGTCTTGTGCTCTGTCAGAAAGTTGCTTACACCACCTTACTATGAGGACAGTACTCCTGGTTGCCATCACTTTAGTAAAAAGAGTTAATGAAAGATAAGACCTCATGAGTTCACCCCTGTTTGTCTTCTGCAGAGACATACTGGTGGAGAAGAAGCTACATCCCTTGTTCCTCCTCAGTGTGGTATCAGAACTCCATCTGAGACAGCCAGTCACTTCAACAATCCTGTTTCCAAAACTTCATGTTGCATGAAGTAATGGGGAGGAGAAGTGAGCCTTCTTTGGGAGATTTATGTTGTTACTAAACAGGGGTCAGCTCTTCAAGTTCTTTGTGGCATCTGTAATTTGCTGGTGATCCTCTCTCAGCATCAAGGCATGCTTGTCTAGAATGCAGGTGTTCTCATAGGCTTTTTTTCTGAAGTGAACCAACTTTTGAAACTTTTAATGTGGCTTATGGAGCCTTCCATTGACAGCTGTTGCATTTTTGACAGCCAAATGCTAAATTTGAATGAACCATATTAGTGTTCAGCAATTGGCTATGACTTTTTCCAGTCACTGTCTGTGGAAAGTATTGTTTGCCAGTCCACCTGATACTTTTTTCAAAAAAAGAAGGGTTACTCAGCACTGCTTTTTGGGATGTTGCAATTGGTTTGTATGCCATAATCCAATTAGTCATTTAACCCTGCTTCAGGGGGTCCTCATTATTAAAAACTTTCACTTTCATGGGAACTGAGGGAAGGTCATGTCAGCTCTGCCCTTTGTTTTTGTAGAGGGTCAGGGGGAGGTACAACGTTCATCAACTAAATCACTCTTTTCCCAGATTATAGCTATATCTATAGATAGATCTCTCTCTCGATCTACCTGTCTCTGGGGAGAAGGGTGATTTCTTTTTCTTTTTTTTTTTTAATAAATATAAGACTGATTATATGTATCTGGGTTTCTGTGTATAAAGCACTGGGGGGGGCTATGGTTGGACTATGGCAAATTCTGAGGTGGCCGCAGCCCACCCTCGCCCTGTGCACAGATCCAGGGGGCACACACCTTGTATGGCTCCTCCAAGGGTGCGTGTAGCGGCGGGATCTGCCCCCACCCCACCCTGGCTGTGCAGTGCCTGCCCCATCCCCACTACCTCCCTCACCATGGGGGCTTTGATCTACCTCCCTGCCATGCTCATTCCCCCCAAGAGACTCGCCAGCTGTACGCTGCTCCCCAAGCAGCAGGGCTGCATATTGGCAATCGGATTGGTATTAGCTGGTATGGCCCATTAATAATTGGCCATCGGTATTGGTCCCAAAAAATCCTTATTTAAAACCTCAGGTTCTCTGTCTGCAGAGCTTTTAGGGTAGAGGCAACAGTTTTGCAGACTTTTCACGGTTTTGTCAATGTTAATGAATGGGTACATTTTTCCTAGATATACTACTTCTGTAGGTTTTTGTTATTGCTGTTTATTCAGTTACTGGCCTCTATTTTGAAATTTGCCAACAGTTTTTAGTTGGGGATAGTTTTATAGAGGCTTCTACAGTCACCCATCAAGATTATGCTAAATGAGATCAACAGTCTATGAAAACTAACAGCTTCATCTTGATGCAGGTCATAGTGTGTTTTGGCTCCTAGTATATTTCCAGTTCCCTGTTTAAGGTTGCAGTTCTATAAATTGGACGGGGAGGAGTTTTTAAATTGGTTGACGTTGATGACATTTGACATTGTAAGTAGCATTAATGAAATTTGCTTGGAGGCACTATCAGTGCAGTTGAGGAGTTAGGATAATGAGCAAAAAGACCTTGGTGACTCTGGAATAAGAGAAACAGGATGACCGTCAATAGGACAAAGGGCAAGGTGATGCCTGTGATGGGTAATGAGAATTTTTTCAAGTAAACTAGAATCTGGAACTCGGATCGTAGGATACACGAACTGAGATGTTTTCAGTGGAGGCAGGGAAGTATTAATACCATTGTATGAGTGACTGCCATAACCATTTTTTGGAACATGTTGTACAATTCTAGTCACTTGTGTTCAAGAAAAATAAACTGCAGGTAGAACAGGTTTAGAGAAGGGGTACTAGGGTGACTGAAAGGGTGAATAGAGATGTTTTAGGAAATAAGACTGGAAGCTTGGATTATTTAAAGTTAGCAGAATTGAAGGATGAGAGATGACTGTCACCTGAAAATATATGGGGGGGAGGCAAGCATAATACAGAAAGAAGAGCTATTTAAGGTAAAGAAAACTTATATGAGAACCAAAAGGATTCAGATGGGCAATGGATAAATTTAGGATCAAAGTCTAGCATAGAAGGCAGAAGGTGTGTAGAAGGACAGCCTTCCAGTAGCAGGGGCTATAAATTTAAGTAGGTTTAAGGGAGAATTTTTTAAGAGGTGTACTTGATGGTAAAAGAATACATTTGATTACACAGGAGATCTCTTCAGCAAGGCCGAAAAAAGAAATGCAGAAATGAGCTATGTTTCCCTCAGTTATGTCCTGTAGAATTTTTTTTTTTGTTGGTTGTGATGTACCCAATATGTGACTGTTAAGAGTGAGTGTGAATTGCTGTACATATTAGTTTTCCTTGTCTTGTAAAGGGTAGAGCAAGCACTCTTCTCCAACTCTCCTTCTTCTTCTTCTTCCCTACTCTCTCCATTCTTCCCCAAAATAGTCTTAAATATTCCTGGAACAGACATGGGTCTGCATCCTTCACCTCAGCTATACATGTGCAACTCAAAAGACAGTTAGCTGAGAAGCATATTTATAAGTTTAAAGTTTTTGTATTCAGTTGAATCCTGACTTCCTAGTAGGAGGGCACCCATCAACCAGAAGACTTCCAGAATAACTCCTTTTAAAGTAATGAAAACAAATAACCAGTAAGGTGCTTTTTTCTAAACATAAATTATGCTTCCAGTGTCTAGTTCTGTGACTCATTAGCTTATTCTTATAATCACTTTTGTGGCTGAAAATTGACAAATCTGGGGAGAAAAGAAAATTTGTCAAGGAAGTGAATGTGTAATTGGGTAAGTGAGAGGGGAAGAGAGGGATGGTAAATTCTGCACAATGTGCAACATAAAGACCATAGTGTCTTAAACTTCCGTAGGAGAAGAGTTAATTCTTGCCATCTGCATTTTGAGTTTTTCATGTGTTTTAGATGGTATGTATCCCAAAAAATAATCTATGGATATGTTGGGTCACATGTTCTAAAAAGTGGCCTGAAACTAGTTTCAGCTTTTTAAAGTTTCTTGCTTTTCTTACCCTTTTAGACAATCCTATCAAGCTCCAGGAGTTGGAGATTGCCTTCGTCAACAGTTAGGATCACGTCTTGCATGGACTCTAACTGCAAGCCAGCCTTCTTTACAAAACTCTACCTCAAAAGGCCTTCCAAATACTGTTTCTCGCAATGTACCACGGTCAAGGAGAGAAGGGGACACAAGTGGTGAGACATATATTTGCCTAAAGATGTATTTTATAGAACTAAAGCTTATTTTCTCTTTATTCTCAGAATAACTTTGTTTCATTGCAGGTATGAGTAAGCTTCCCAAAAGAATAAATTTGAAAGTAGGAGAACAGCAGATATTCAAGAGAAGATTTTATTTGGCTATAGACTTTTTTTATACTCTTTACTAATTGTCAGCATTCGTTTGAATGTGTTTTTCATTCTGTTCAAGATTTGTTTCTTCTCTTTATGTTCTTGTAAGTGGAGAACAAGTCCGTTGCTGCGAAGAGCAGAATCAAGTAACAGCAGATTGAGTGCCTGTGTTTCTCTGACAGCTGTGGAGTGTTTGATCTTTACCAAAAGGAGGAAAAGTATAGTATGGCCAGTTAACATCTAGAAGATGTTCTAGTTGGCAGCCCTGCTAAACTTCTAGATTTTAAAATGTATCTGGGTGCTTTGTTTTTGTCATTGTTGCCAGTAAATGACAGATAGGCCAAATGGGGTTCTAAAGATACAAGTCAGGATGGAACTTGGCCTTGCAGTGAGAATTTGATTAATAATATTGTTGATGCACCAAAAGAAAAGAGTCCAGCTCAGCCTTGTACTGCCGTATTGGCACTGCAGTTCTAATTGGAATAAAAACTTAAAAGAATCACCTTCCTTGTCTATTTCTTGAATGAAGCAAGATTAAATTGAGCCAGTAAGATTATACTAGCTTGTTTTCTTGCTTACATTATATTACCTGTGCATTTGCACACACACACACTTCCAGAGTTGTTTACCTGGCTTTAGGATTACAGTACAACCTGGATGCTTTACAGGGTTAGGTTCTGAAAGAGGAAAAAAGGATAAGTAAATTGGGGAGCTGTTTAAGCAATGATGCAGGCCAGCTTTATTTCTTTGAGGTGGCCAAGAAAATTGGTTGCATTCCAATAAACCTCCTATTGTGCAAATCCAAGGTACTGCTATGAAGATGTTGATCCAGAATTGACTCAGCTGGTTTCCTTTAGCCTCTGTTGGTACATCTATGTTTTATTATAAAATTGATGCGTCTGTTTGAGTGGAAAGGAATGAGAGAGAGGATCTCAAAGAAGCCACATCCTGTTGCACCTGAAACTTTGGACTATGCTGAAAGATTGAAAAGCCTTCAATCTTTGTGTACTAAGTAGGGCTGTACACAATACAGGTGCTGTAAGGCCCTCAAAATGAAGAAAATGCTGTGTTGACAACTGCCATTGCTTTCTGTAAATAACTGTGCTGAGACTTTAGAGCCACGTGCCTCTATTCAGAGGTCTGAGCCAAAAACCAAGCTGGCCTCTAGCACTTTAGGCTCTTCTGAATGAACAGTTATATATCTCACAGAAATATCCCTTTATCTTTCTCTGGGCTTTCCTTACTTGGGGTGTAAAAGCTTTATAGGTGGAAATGTCTGAACGATCACCCAGCATCCAATACTAGAGTCACTTTTTATAAATATGAGAGAGTATCTTAACTTCACAAAATAAACACTGTTTGGACAAAGCAGAATGTTGAGAGAAACTGTTCAGAAAGCATTAGCAAGCACACTTCAACTCTCCAGTCAAAGTAACGGGGAGTTAACCTGTGGTTCTGTCTGGGTCCTCAGAGAGAGACTTCAAGGTGAACTTGATGAACATCAAAGGGGTTTCAACAATTTTATTTCTAAGTTTTCAAGTATGATATTCTTAACTAGATTTTTTTCTTTTAGGCTCTGTTGAAATAACTGAAGCAAATCTTGTAAGAGATATTTTGTACGTCTTCCAGGGCATAGATGGCAAAAACATCAAAATGTGCAATTCTGAAAACTGTTATAAAGTAGACGGAAAGGTACAGTAGCTAATATTCAGTTTATGGAGTCGGAGGGTGCAAGTGTGTAGGAGGCTAAACAGCGTTTATTTATAGTTTTATTAAAACAATGTTAAAATGTCAGCTATACTTAGCAGCCCCTTAACTGATTGGTTCTCAATCAGAATTCAGGGCAGCGTGGAATGCATACATGCTGTTAGTATTTGCTAGCTTTGTTCATTCCTTTTATCCCATGTTTCTCAGGGGTAGGAATAGTTATTCATTGCTCTATCTGTTTTTTTCCCCCCCGTGCAAGTCTAAGGGCATGGAATTCTTAATGTTTTCTATTAATGTTATGGGTGGAGCTGTCAGCTGTACCTATAGGTAAGGCTGCATGAACATTTTCAGCATAACACTCAGTTTTCAGTTGCTTACAATTTTTACCAAATGGTAACTGCTTGGATTGAAATTTTCCCAGCTGGAAAAAAAAAATTCTCCCTACCTTTTTCCTTCAGGAACTATTCAGATGTTTGAGGAAATAGGAGTAGGGTAAAATAATGTTAGCAACAACAAAAAAAGCAGTCTTACTCCTTTTACAGAGAGGTTTTCACACCTCCATTCTAATACAGAGATGAGGTATTGGATGGGATGGAGGCACTGGATGAGGGATGGCAAAACATCCCTCAAGAGCAAAACAGGCTTGGACAGAAGGCGGTAGCTCAGGAGGGGAATGATGCAAACAGGAGGCATAGGACTGGTAATCACTAGAATACAGTGATTCTAGTTATTTACTAGAATTACATTCAGGACCTGGAATAGAACATTGGCTTTTTGAGTTTCATTATTCTTATGAGTAAATAGTTCTAAAACAGTACTAGTTAGCTCACATAGAGGATAACAGCCTTCTATTGCTACCACTTGATTAGTTCAAGGGACCAGCATTTGTTCTGCGGATCTAATGCCTTTAACTCTGCCCTTGTGCATGGGATTTAATTTAGTTCTACAGGATGGGATTTTGCAGTTTAACTTTCTCTACAAACTATTTTAATGGAATTTCCTGTTTTAATGTTAGCAAGTCAGTCACTGAAAAAATTATATGCCAGCATTCACATTGCTTGTGTTCACCCTCTTGTGTGTACCTTTTACATAATATAGTACTATTCCCTTCTCCTCCCTAGTTCTCTTCTTCCTCACACAGGATAAAGAATGAATGCTGTACACTTGAAGTAATTTATTCTATATTAAGCAAAGATACTAGAGAGACTGTAGTGTAGGGATTAAAGAATTTTTTAATAAAGACTTAATAAGCTCCTGTCTGCTAACTTTGTAGGTGAGCTTGTCCAAATCTCTCCGAGATACTACAAGCAGGCTTGCAGAATTAGGATGGCTACACAATAAAATAAGAAAATATACAGACCAGAGGAGCTTGGATCGTGCATTTGGACTAGTAGGTCAGGTATGTTGGCTACAAAAATCAAAGGTGTTTATACTACTTCGTTTCGTTCTGTTTAGGAGCTGCCAAGATTAAAAATGAAATACTGGAATGGTGGGGAGACTATTAAAAAAAACAAAACAAAAAAACAACAAAAAACCAAAAAAACTCATAATCTGAAGTTGTTCAGCATCATTTGACTTGCTACTTTGTAAATGCTCATGGTCTACCTCTTGGGTGTAGAATAAGAATGTTCACATCTGAATCATAATAGCATTCATTCTTGCTTGTACCAGGAAACAGTCTTTTCCCTTCCATCCTCAATTGGGATTGCTTTCTGCATAGACTCTTTGATTTTAAATGTAAGAGTAATTTAAAAAATAAAATAAACATTGCCTAAGAGGGACAATAGCATCTCTGGGCTAATTAGTGCCACGGCTTGCACTGTTAGGGAGAAATTATATTTCACTCTGCTTCTCCCCTAAAACTAAGTGGGGGAATATTCTTGACAAGGTGACAGATGCTGATGTTCATTGATATTAAGAATAGTGCACTATCTGAGACTAAATGCAAATCATCAGTTATCTGCTGCCACTTCTTTTGAATGCAACATCAAAAGAATGTCAATTTTTGTTTTTATAGGTTCCATCACCATGATTTGTAGTCTGCAGTAACTTCACAGCTGCTGTAATACCCCAAAACCACACTTACTGCTAAGGCATTCCCGTTTTCTCTCACTTGCTCCCTCTGTAAAACTGGATATTATCCCTTCTGAGCCGACAGAAATGTTGTTGTCCCTGCCTCTAGGCATAACATCCTACCTAATCTGCAAAGAAAGTGAAGTGCTCCTCCCTTCAGTCTAATTTTTCCTAAGAGGTCAGTAGAGACACTTATGGTGCTTTCTACTTTTCTGTTGTTTTATTCTGTTCCCTTCTGACTCTCTCTCTTATTCTAAATAACTATTTTTAGTTAATATATACTTATATAAATATTAATATTTATGTTCTAATTGACTAATACTGGTTTTCATGTTTTAGTCTGTGTGTATTGAGAGTTTTTCTAGACTCTCTTCCCCCCCCACCCTCCTCTAATAATTTAAGAGAGATTTTTTTACATTCCTTCCATTTAGTAGTTTCCTGCTTATGCTTTTTCACTGTCTTTGGCCTTAATCTTTCAGTTTAAAAAGTGGGGAAGAATGAAGTTCCTCAGTAAATGTTTTCTCAGCTATCAAATGCAGGTTTTAAATGATGGAGGAAAGCCACATACATCTATATAGTTTTGTCTTCATAATTGTGCTTGCCCGGGTGTCCTAAACGTGGCACGTGAAGATAATCCATTTTATTTGTATATAATGTATGCATTAGGGACCTAACACACAGCTATATTCATGAATGGAAAGCTGCTTCTGCTTGCTTTCTTAAAAAAGCCTCAGTCTTATTTCAAATACCCAGGAATTCATTTTTAAGCCTGAACTACCTTTTATATAATACTGTTGACTCAACTTGTCAACTTCTTTCTCTTACTAGGAATAACTATATATGAAATATACTGCACTCTAACCTCTTATTTTCTTCTACCTGCACTACTTGGGATTCTATGACTTATCCTTGGAAATAAAATTAAATGTAAATCGGTATTAAAATAATTCGCCCTGCATGTTCACCTATTCTCAAAGAAAACATCAAAATAAAACTGAGGTGGTAGGTATTTTGAATTCCCTATTGATCAGAAATTCTACTTTTTCCTTTGACTTCCCCCTTTGTAGACCGCATTACACTGCCAAGTTTTTTTTTTTAATGCGTATTTCCCAAACCATTTTTCCAAATAATTGGAAATAGTGCTAAAATGCTATTTTGAACTTTTTCAAAGCTAATTTCTTTGAACCTGGTAGTTATTGTGACCTTAAATGCTGAAGTTGGAAATTTTTACTAGGAACCCCTTCCTCCAAAGATACAAGTTTTTAGACTTCTAAACATGTGGTATTTTTATATAAACCCAGCTTTGCCCTCCAGCTTAATAAATAGTGCTTTAAAGCTACCAAGTTGTACTGAAGAAGCAAGTGGGAAGAAATTGAAAACGGGTTACATGTCATGGAGTTTCCAAACTTTAAGAAAGCTTCAGCCCATGCATCCCCCTTGACTCTGTTGGACCTGTATAAACTTATTCCCTCTTTAATTTTTCTTTCTTGCTCAAAATCCGATTGGAGAGAGGAACACTTTTTGACTTCCTTTTAAAAGTCAGAACTAAGCAAAATTCTCTTAAGCTAATAAGGAGAACTAACTTTTGAGCCTAGGCCATTTAGTACATAAAGGGAAATAGGGATTTCTTCTCCTTATGTTAGAAATACCAGTGCGAGTAATTATGAAATAGAGGTGAAATAGTTTTTCTTCCAGCTTACCTTTTTATACACTTGTTTTCAACCACCTTTTGACTATTGGTTTGAAGAAGGGTAAAATAGAAAAACTTCTTACTAACTTGTTTGGCAATTCATTTTTTAAATAAAAACTAATGTAATGGATTTTCTAATGTAAATTTGACAATATTTGCAGTCAAGTATGAAATTGAACATAAAGTGACTGACATCTTGATTAGCAAAGCAGTCTTGTAGATAAATTTCAAAGTTTTAATCAGTTGTCTGAAGAAACATTTAAAAAGTCTGCCTCAGTTTAAAAAAAAAAAAAAAAAAAATTAGGATTTAATTCCATTAAAAAAAAATACTAACACAATTCTTTGTACCCTGTTGTGCTAAATTTCCAGGATAAAAACCAAGAGAAAAAATTATATCCATTTCTATATAGATTGTACAAGAGGCACAAAGATTCTTTGTGATACTTTTTGTTGAGTCAGCTGTAGAATTGTGAAAACTGTTGGACAAGCCTTTGGGCATCAAGTGCCTTCCAGAGAGAAATTAGGTTATTAAAATACTTGAAAAATATTTTCAGTTGGCTTTTATTTTTTCTAGTTGAACAGTTACTACATTTTCCTCACATGCCCCACAGTCCAAATAAGACACGTCTTGTTTTTTGAGAGAGGAGAGAGAATTTTTTTTCTTCTTCAGAGTTATGGCTACATAGAGCAGGGACAGCCTATTTTTCTGCTCAGCTGGCATCCCTCTCGTTTAAGCAAAAATTTAAAATTCTAGGGGTTGCTGAAGACTGATCTCCGTGAATGGATATATGATTTTGAAAAGAGCTAAAAATTGTCTGCAGGGCTGTGAAACGAGGAGACCAGGAATAGCTAAACAAATAATTTCCAGAAGAAAAGTTGGCTTGATGATTGTTATTTGGACTGGGTGGTGCAGGGTATGACCTACTAGAAGGAGGGCAAGAGAAAGGGGCAAAGTTCAAAGCACAGGCTGAAGCAGGAATTAGAAATCAGATACCAAGTTACCAGATCCAGGGGAAAATACAGAGTCCATATCACAATTCAGATCAAGGTTCAGGAGTCAGAAGCCAGTGCTGAAGGCAGGCTATGTAAAGTTTCAGAGATGAAGTCAGAGTGAACCAAGAGTCGGTCTGAATTACTCCATTGGGGGGGAATTTCCAAAAAAACCCAGAGTCTGGAAACGGAACCAAGCAGGAGTACAGGATCAGAGGCTTAATGGAGCAGACCTTCAGAAGAACTGTTGCCTGGCCTGAAGCATGCTGCCACAAGTGGAATTAAATGGTTAGGCTGTCTGCTCTCCCCAGCAGGAGACCTAATAGTGGATCATTAGCTGGGTTAGGGCTGACAGTCCTAGTCCTCAGGCAGGTGTGACCAACTAGGCAATTAGCCCATGACCAACTAGGCAATTGGCCCAGGTTAGCCTGCCTAGTTAAGGGCCCCTGACAAATCAGTGGACCATTAAAAAGCAGAGATGCTTGTTAACTTAACATCTGTCGATTCACTCCCTCAGCTTCCTGAATAGAAAAGTCACAGCTGCTGCAAATAGGAATCAAAATAAATACATTCCCCCCAATTTTTTTTTTTGGGGGGGAGCTGATCTGTGTGGGGAAAGATGCATGTGGTATGCGAGTACATACAATGAGTTATTTATAGATCTCACACCAGCAATATAGACATCTTTAAAAACACGTCAGCAAATGTAATGGTCTGTAATGCTTTTGTTCTTACGGAGTGTCAGATTTGTAATTGTTTGGGTCTGGTCCAAAGTCTGTCTCTTACAGTACAAATCCATTGAACTCATTGGGCTTTGGATCAGGCCAAGTTGGCATGAAGCATCATGGAGAATTTTTGTACTTTCACAGACCACTTATGGTTGCTTTTGAAGGTCTTTCTATGGTGACAAATAATGAAGCATGGCACTAACTTGAATAAGCAACCTCTGAAGAAAGGAATATTATTTTCAAAGGATTTATACACTGCCTTTAAGATGTATAAAAATATCAAACAGTAGATATGATGATCCTGGTGTGTAACATTTTATATTATGGTTATGTTTACAGGTCTTAGTCTGGCTGTGTTGCTATTGTGCTAATTACTTGTATAACCACAGCATATGACAGTCTTAATCCCAAAGAGCGCGTCTTCCAATTTGAACAGTATTATTGTATTTATTATTGTTCTTTATCACTTGATGATGCTGTATTCCCCATCTATCTGATTATTACTTGGACCAGGGTTATGAACTCCGCACAGAAGTTATATTCACAGTCTGATTTGTTTAATATTTCAATATTTGGTTTTATGTAGAATAGCATTCATTACATCTGACCTTCTGACCTTTTTTTTCCCCCCCACCCTTCCCTTTCTCCCACCCCCACTCTACAGAGTTTTTGTGCAGCTCTACATCAGGAACTTAAAGAATATTACAGACTTCTGTCTGTTTTGCATTCCCAGGTAAAAATAAATAAATAAATAAATAAATCTTTGTTTTATAAATAATGTTCTGAAATACTACCATTTTGGTAAAGCAGTATTGCCAAAGGAAGAATCTGGTTGATTTAAGTATGGGATCTGACATGAGCAAATAGGACTTAGTTATTCATCTTGAAAATGTAATGGAGAAATGTTTAGACATGTGACTTGGCTTTAAGTCTTGCAAGTGCACTGAGAGGTATAAATAACTAATGTAAACAAATGTTTGTTTTGGGTTGAGTTCAGAAGAAAATGTTCAGTAAAGGACTAAACTTAAGACACTTATCAGTATCTGTTGCACCCCCCACCCCTCCCCCCGCAGCAAATTCACATTTGGCCAAATAGCTAATACTTGTAAATTGAACTGTATTCTAATAATGTTTTTCTTCTAACTGCAAGATTTAGTAGAAAATTGCAGATAAATATATAATTGGTAGTGGTAAGAACTTGTATTGTCCTCTCCCATTTTCAAACTTTAGTGAGTTTACAAGAACCAAGCACAATTTAAAAAAAAAAAAAAAAAAAAAAAAAAGAATATACTTAATGTATTTGAAAGCTCAGATTAAGGTAATGATTTCAGGCCCTAAGCAGAGTGCAGTTTGCATCTGAAAGCAGTGTTCTGTGTGCATTGGTGTCTGTCTGTCTGTCCCCCTCTGTTTTCTCATGTGTGACTTGTGGCCTCCTGATGTTCAGTCAGTAGAATCTCTGCTAAAACAAAGTCCATTTTTTGAGTTTCATGAGCATCTTCTGGCTATGTCTGAGCCAATATATAAACCTAATAAGAAATATCTTGTCTAGTGTGTTTTTAGTAAACCATTTGAAACCCAACATTCACCTTTTTTTTTTGCACTTCTACTTTTTAAATAGACATCTCTCTTAGAATTTTTTTTCCTTATTATAAAGCCCCTAGGTCTCTTCAGCCAACCATGTCCTCTTTAGCATATTAAGCCTTTAAGGAGTGCCACTTGCTTCACTGTTTTACAAGAATCAAAAACATGTTTGGCTGGTGTACCAAGGAAAGGCTTAATCATCATTGCATTGTTAAATTTGTTGGGGTTTCAGACCCCGAACATGGTAGGAAAAGGCAGTCGCATCCTTTGCCAATACTACTAGAAAGGGTCTGAGAGCACAGGCCCCTCTGTACTAGGTGTTAAGGCCACTGATAATTTGGCTTGGACTGACCCTTTTAGGAACTGAAGTCCAAGACTTCCTTTATCTGTCACTCGCCTCTATTCAGACCTCAAAGAAGGGCATGAAAGCTTGATTGTCCAGGTCCATGATTGCTCCAGCACAATCTCTGCCTCTTAAATAGCACCAGATATACTTGGCATTGGATTTACAGGTGTCTCCTGCAATCTAGGTACATCTGGTTTTGGCTTAATATACTGTACTGAAGAACAGATCCCTTGTCAAAAGTGGGAGGAAAAGACTAGCGTTGGTTCTAACTGGTTCAGACATCACTAGCACATGTTTTATTTAGCACTGCAATCATTCTAGACTTTTGCAGATTCAGTACTCTTTATGCTCTGACTTTGCCAGGCTGTCTGGCCAACTTGCATACACACTTCTTTCTTGACCAATTCTTCCATTATCTGAGCTATTTCCTGACTTGTTAGTGTAGAATTCCTGATCATCATGGAATATGGTATGCTTTTAGCTCTTTAACAGCCCAATGACTGACTGTTCTTCCTTTTTTGAGTATGCCTAGGAACAAGCCCTCTGTACCCTTAAGGCTTGGACTTCTTGCAGCTCATTACACATACTGTTTTGGCTCTTCAATCAGGAAGCCTTATAAAAATCACCAGTATACCAGCACTGTTAGTGTTTAATTAGTGTTGTTTGAGCCAAACTAGAGGGTCCATCCCATGTAACATTAAAGCTGTTAACTTTCTCAAGTATTGTGGAATAATGTCTACAAATCTCTCTTGTGGGCAACTGCTCAAGTAAATTTGGAAAAGTTGCCCTAGCCTCCGATTTCAGATCTCTTAGTAATTACTTGATAGTTTCCCAAAAGTGAGAATTCAGAGGCCCTCAGAAAAAGGAAATACTTACAGTAAGTAGACTGTTTTTGCCTCTTCTAATGTATGAAGAAAATGCCAGTGGACTCTCTCTTGAGAGAGAACTGAGGAGGTTGGGGACTGCTTTCTGTCATGTAGATTTAGATGTTAGCTGTCTAGACTTGAGTCAAGTTATGTAGTCCTTTTTGGTGTGGGAAGTTCAAAATAATTGGTGAATACAAATATTGAGTTGCATTGCAATTGTGGTAATATATGAGTAGGAAAGACGGTCTTGCAACTGAAATGCAGGACTGGGGAAACAATAAGGAAGTAGCTTAACTCTCTTTTTTTTTTCTGTCTGCTTCTACCCTAACTTAATATGAGATAGCTCTGGGAAGCTGAATATTAATTTTTGTTTGCAAAGTACTTTTATTTGCAACTGAGGACCATCTCACTAAAGTTATTGTGCAGCTAGCTGGCTAATTGCACAATTACCTTAAGACCAGCTACATGTACAAAGTAGCTATCACATGATAAAAAGCTCCAATCCGTTATAAAGTTAGACTTTGAAAATGTGTACTAACTTTATAGCTGGTTGCTATCAAGGTTTAATTTGCACATGTAACACGGGCTCTCCTGTAGCCGGTAGCCCTGTCAGCTGATAGGGCTTCTAGCCACAGTGGTATACATTGCCTAGTGTGAAAACTCTGAGCCTTGGGGATCACAGCTGATGTGGGCCCCAAGGCTGGGGATGGAAAAGGGGGGCTGAAGTCCACACCCCACATGGGACTCTTGGTCCAGTTCCTCACCTGCAGCAGGACCAAGAGATCCTGCAACTGATGTGGCGCTCTGTCCCAGCTACATGTGAGGTGCAGCCAGGACCACAAGCCCTATCAGTTGCCAGATCTCTTGGCCCTGGCTGTGTGTGGCCATTGTGGCTGGGAAGCCCCCTCAGTAAATGGGGCTCCCAGCCATGGGAGTTTGCTTCTTGCCAGTGCAGAGGGAGCCCAGAATTGAGTTCCTCCTGCACCAGCAATGTGGTGCAATTAGACCTAATGTGCGATCCCACAGTCTTACAAGGAGGCACGATTGTGTGGATCACGCATTAGATCCAACGGCGTCTTTGCCTTCATTTGTAGTGGCGGTCTCAGAAATAGAATTATTTGTAATACTCTGTAGAGCTACAATATTTCATATGTATACTAATCACATTTTAGCAACTTCTTTATACAAGTATATCTTTTTCCTATAGCTTGGTGTTCAGAGATCCATCCTTATAACTGTAGTAATGATCGTTATTTTAACCTATTCCTTATGATTATATGGAGGAAATGTGAGCAGAATTTAGTCCTTTTGGGTTAAAAATCGAACTACTGCTGTCTTGATGGAAACTTTACCGGTTAATCACTGTCCAGATTATTTTTTTCCCTTTAACATTATTATTCTAATTTTCTTGACCAAGCTTTTCAATCAGGCCTGTTATATTTGTATATGGCTCTATCCTTTTCATCTAGATACACATCTGTTTCCTTTTTGTATCATCCTAATGTTTTGGCGTAGTATCTCCTGATCACTGTTACACTGTATTTAAAGAGAAATTGTGAACTACTTAGTCTTCTGTTCTTTCATTGTCTTTTTTTACTTTGATTTGTTTAGCTGCAACTTGAAGATGACCAGGGTGTAAATTTGGGACTAGAGAGCAGTTTAACACTTCGTCGTCTTCTAGTGTGGACATACGATCCTAAGATAAGACTAAAGACCCTTGCAGCACTTGTTGATCACTGTCAAGGTCTGTGTAAAATACAATTTTAAGTCTTTAATTCAAGAGTGATTGTGCATGACAAGCACAGATGTCCTCTTTATCAATATAATTATATTTGAGATTAAACTAATGTGAATTTCTGGTAGTATCTTGATTTAGGAAATGAGTAAAAAGGTGGTATTTGTCCGGGCAAATTTTGAGAGCAATTGTGTTCCATCAGAATATAATCTTCAGCATTTTAAATAGATGGCTGTAAAAAGATTGTAGTTCTTTTCCACAATACTTTAATAAAAACATGCTTAATATGTTATATAGGCTGTTGTTATTGCAAGGGGTAGCCTTTTTTCTTTATTGTCAAAAAATAATGTAGGTTGGATTTTTTTTTTTTTTTAAACTTCCTAGCTAACAAACTTCATGAAATCTTTCTGTGTAGAGTACATTTAAATACATTCTTTTTTAGGATTTTAATGTTTCAGTGTTTTCCTGTTCTTCATAACTGTCTGCAGAGGCTGAGGAATATTTTACTACAGAGAATTCTACTAAACACTACCCTCTTTCAAAATGGCTGCCATCTCCCACTATCCTCAACAGGTATAAAGTTTTCCTCTACTTTTCCTGGTAACAGAGGAAATGCAGTATTCCTGAAAGGAGCTTAGCTCCCTTGTCCTTGGAAAAAATTGGAGGCTGTGGTCATTTTGAGGGAGAGTGTTCTAACTGAAAGAGTATATGACTGCAGCATTTGTAGAAAATGATGGGATATGGTAGCCATGTTGAAAAACTACTTGTTTATAAGTTTCTCCAGTGTAAAATGTGCAGCAGCCTGTGCTGAAAGAAACTCCCAACTGTTTAAAATAACAAAAAGTGCATGCGGCCTGAATTGTTCTTTTTAAAGCATCTTTTTGCATTAGAACTATTCAGATTTAAAAGAGGAAGGGGGAAGCTGCTTGAAGGAGAATATGAAGGACTGGAAAAAGGGAATATGTGGGGTATGTAAATGTGCAAGAAACAAAGGAGATCTATAGGATTGGAGCAGGGGCAAGGGAGGTGTGAGACTGCCTCCAGATGTTATTTTTGTAGCGCAGAAATATTTGCCATGTGTTCAAAGCCCCCGAGCTAAAACACAGCAGACATGCTCTCCAGCCAGAGGGAGTGCACAAACAGCCCTCTAAAGCTCCTGGGTTGCGGGCAATCCTGTCACTTCTTGGCAAGATGACAGTGCTCCCAGTGACCCTCTCGGGAGCAGAGCTGATGGGCTGCCTCTATCAGCCTCTGCCCCTGCTGCCTGCTTGTTGGCAAGGGTGAGGGAGTGCCCTTCAGCCCAAGAGAACAGGGAGCATCCTGATTTCCTACCCAGGTAGCCCTTGCCAGTGGAAAACCGTTACTGGTTGTCACTAGGTGGCAATGGGAACAAGTCTGAGCAGGCTGCCAGAAAGCCAGCTGCTTTCTCTTTCACTCCCTCCATCACCTTGTCGAGCAGACCACTGTGGGGGGTTGTGCGGAGTCTATCTGACCAGGTATTAAATTTGTCCCCTGCCATTTTTGTGGTGAATCTTATCATTTTTCATATATATTCATTGGTGAAATTCCTCTAACATCTGGCATGTTATTGTGTTAAACTTGCATATACCCTGTGACGCATGGTAACATCTGAAGGGAACCTGAAATGTACCGTCAAGCTGCTTTATGATTCTCTGGTGAAACTAAGCAACTCTAAAGTTAACTTAATGCTTTGAGAATCTCCTAAGCCTATATAAAGCATCCAGAACATAGATTGGTGGATTTGGCCGAATACAGTAAATGCTTTTTTTTAATGTTGATATTTTCTTATCCTACTGCTATTATATTTTATTATTATAAAACTTTAAATCTTATACTCACTGGATTTAAATGTTGCCATTTAGCAAGCTTGGAAAAAGACACACAATCAGTAATTGACTTAGGAAGTGTATTTTTTCTGAAGTATGATGCTCACTTCTTTTCTTTGTATTTTATATATTTATCTGATTCATATGCTGCTGTCTTTCTTCCTTCCAGGAAGAAAAGGTGGTGAACTAGCATCAGCTGTCCATGCCTATACTAAAACTGGAGATCCATACATGAGATCATTAGTGCAGCACATTCTTGGCTTGGTATCCCATCCTGTCCTGAATTTTCTTTACCGTTGGATTTATGATGGGGAGTTGGAGGACACTTATCATGAAGTAAGTAATCTGGCTACTGATACTGAAACTTCCATTCAGTTATTTGTGTTTAAAAAAAAAAAAAAAAAAAAAAAATCAATTGGAGACTTGAATGAAAACTGTAGGATTGAAACTCTTGGGTGGGTAACTATTTCAGATACACAGCTTTACATGAAATGTGAGTGGCTTTTCAGTGTATGAAACTATTGGTGTATTTCATTGTAAATGAAGTGAGACTGCATATGGTTAACTGGCTTCAGTGGGTCAAATGAATCCATAAGCTCCAGGACTGTGACTTTACCAGATGTTGAGAATCACTGTTCTGACCTTTTTTTCAACTAGGGAGTCACAGCACCCTGGAGTGCCTTGAGATCTTTTCAAGAGTTGTGGCATGATGTTAGCACTGCTAGGTGCGCAAGCATGATTCACAAGATAAACCTAGGGGTTTCAAATAGGAATCCATAGTAGCAAAAATATCCTGAACTGCTGTGATCTTTCTGAAGTTTTTGCAACAGAAGAATTGCTCTGTTATTTTTCTGTAGTCAAAAAATAAGTGCAACCTAAGAGCTGGACAATAATTGTGTCTTATGCCATGCTGTGTATATATAGTAAGATGCATGCAACTTTTGGGATCAGGATAAGATCTAACCCATGGCCTGCAAAGCAGGGAGCATGGCATGGGGACCCCCGCACACCCTCAATTCTGTGCTTTCCATTGCCCTTTCAAATTTGCTGGCACATGTGGAGACTGGCATCATGTTAATAAAAGTCCTGGGTCATTACAAACCCGAGATCAAATAGAGGCTATCCATTGCCAACTACTGGCAACCTCCGACTTAAGAACCACAGTCCTTTGGACATGCTGCCCATGCAGATTATGGTGCGATTCAAAACAACCACAAAAATGTTCCACACTAAATGTGGAACTTCTTGGTGGCTGGTCTGATAGTCTAATGTGCCATTAATCTCTTGTGCATGTGGCACTTCAAAAATTTAACATCTTAATTGCACGAAAAATGTAAAGTCTACCAAGGGGTCTTTGTTAACTTAATTTGGGAGTATTTTGTTTTTCTATGTGCATTTATTACATCCAGTAGTGTTTCAGTATCTGTTGAAAGTGATCTACTTGAAGCTGTTACTTCCTTTTGAAGGCCATAAGCTAGTCTGCCAGGAGTTACCATCAATACCATCATTTATTACAATGGAGCAGTCAAAAAGGTAGGGCCAAAGGGGCTGTTCTCATGTTTCACAGACACGAGGCATTTGGATTTTTCTTTTCACCAATAATGGTGGTCATGCTTTACAAGCCAAAGATGGAATGCTCCCACGTTCCATATTCACAAATGTTATCTATTTAAAATTTGTTTCTAGCAAAGAAAATTCCTTTTACTGTATGTAGTTGTGAGACCTTGGCATTTGTCCAGCAGTTAAATTGTACCATGCCTTGTCCTTAATTTTTTTTCTGCAGTTCTTTCTGAGTTTGAAATAATAGCAAAAAATCAAAACCTTGAGTAGCAAAAAAGATCAATAAAATACAAGCATATTACATTTATGTTGAACCTTGACTTTTTGCCTTTCTAGTTGTGTGGTTTTTCATGGGATTAATTATAATCTAAAATGCACTCTCTTCTACAGGATGTTTTCTAGATACTGTAATTACATTTTAGTTTGCCCTTAAAGCATTGCTTTCATAGCTTACAAAGTTGACCTTAATTTTCTGAGGTTTTCTTTTCTTTTTTTAATTAGTCTTCTCATAATTTATATTGATTTAAGATCTAGTTCTCTGTCAGTCACTAGGATGAATCTGTGTCTTCTGTAAAAGTAAGGCATTAAAGTAGTGCATTTCACATACAGTATTTATTAATCCCTTGATTCAGCAAATCTTTAGAGATCATGTTTTGTTTCTTTAACATGTTATAGCATGTTACTAAACTAGCTACCAGTAGTCCCAGAGGGACTACTCTTCTTTCTCATTCCCCATTATAGCACAGTCACTATTTTACAGAATGATTGTGGCCTCAGTACAATATGGCACATTTGAGGTCTTTAGGTGGTTTTGTTTGTTTGTTTGTTTGTTTTTAGAGTAAAATTGTGAGATTATTTTCCTGTCTAAAATACTTATAACTTTTCCTTTATTCAAGTTTCTCAACAGCTTCTATAATCTTGCTTTATGAAGGTGAGGCTAGGGTGTGAAAATCCTACCTGAACATATTCTGTCTATAAGACTAAGTACAGACAGTCAAATGGCAGAAGCTGAATCGATTCAATCTTTGCAGGTTAGTCTAAACTGCATAGATTGAACCGAGAAGCAAGTGAACAGACATTCACTTCTGATTCCAGAAATGCAGCCACATGACTGCAGTAGCTCAGGCCAGAAGTTAGGGGGTGCTAGAGCATGCTTTCCAGCCACTGCCAACGGGAAGGGATGAGAGAAGCTCTTCAGGGCTTTTTCCCCTTCCCTTCTTGAGCGTAAGGGGCTTGACCAGGCACCAGCCTGGGACCAGCATGCTGAGGCTAGGGGGAGGGAGTTTTTTTAAACCCTCTTCCCTGGCCCACATGGGACCCCAGCCCCAGTATGCCTGGAGGGGGCAGCCCCTGCCAGGTTTCTGTCTGCCACTCGTGGTGGGGGGCAGTTCCTGACAGGGTTTTGCACCCCCCCCCCCAAGCAAGGGGGATGGTGTGGCCACCCCCAGCTAGGGGCTTGCAGGCTGAGCTGGGGAGTCCCTCCCTGGCTGCATGGGACCGCAGCCTGGCTCTACCTCAGGGAGCCTCTGCCAGGCCCCCATCCCCTGCTTGTTTAAACCCCCTTCCCTGCCACTTCAGGCTGCTGGCTTGGCCAGAGTCTGGCCATGTGCCTTGCCCCTCTGCTGGAACATGGAGCAGAGGAAAAGGTGAGGGGCTGTGAGGCAGACACTGGCTGGGGTTTAGAGCCAGGTTTCCCACCCCCACTCTCAGCCAGCCAGAGCAGTGATAGTGCTCCAGCTAGGGAGCAGAAGGGACAGAAGTTCCATAAACTGGTTTGACTTAAATCAGTTAAGTCTGATACCACATCCAACCAGATTTATCCTACACAATGGCCGAAACCAGTTTAAGTGGCTTAAGTGCACTGAACTTCTGTTCTGTTACAGGTTTAATTAAATTGGTTTCTGATCACTTAAACTGGTATGTGTAACTTATGTCTCTAGCCCAGGTGACTTGTGGCAGGTAGAGTTTGTGTTGCCAGTCCCCCTCCCTCCCACAATTTAAGTCTGACTAGGTAAATATCTGGCACTTTGTTAAAGGCTGACAATATCTTTATTTTTCTTGTGGTAACTTCTTTGCTCAGTAATCCTCATTTATCTTTTTTGTGGGGTGGAGATGGGATTAAATTAAAAGCTTAAGCATGTATAAAAGTACAGTAGTATTTTAATATGGATTCAGATGCATATGTTCATTAGAACAAAGTCTCACTCTGGGTGTGTCTACACGTGCACTGGACTGCACAGTAATGGGCATTACTGTGCAGTCCCAACACCATGCAGGTTTTTTACCATGCTACTGTGTAGTAGCATTGGCACCATAGTTTGTGACCACCAACATAGCATCTAATATAGACATGCCCATTGTATATACAAGTGTGAGGATGGAATGTACATAATTTTGGACTTGATCTTTTATATCTAACACTTCTGTTTATCTGCAGTTCTTTGTAGCTTCAGATCCTACTGTTAAAACTGACCGGTTGTGGCATGACAAGTACACTTTAAGGAAATCAATGATACCATCATTTATTACAATGGAGCAGTCAAAAAAGGTACTGCCAAAGGGGCTGTTCTTCTTGTGTTTCACAGATTTTTTTCTGTTTATGCTATGTAGTCATAGAGCATGCAAGGCATATGTTTACTAGAATATCCAGGCAGTCCTCAGACTTACAACACAATTGGTTCCTGAAAACGGTGTCTTAAGTTGAAATGTTGCAACTCAGAACCAATTTGTTTCTTATGAGAAATGTTATAAATGGGGGATTGGTTCCTGAACCAAGGCCCGATACCCTGGTTTCACCAAAAATAACCCAGAATTTTGTACTCTATCAATTATAGATGGGTAATATAGCTACATAAATGTATTTATATTGTAAACGGCAATCATAGTGATTTGGAAGGACTTCTCTGAGGTGACTTTGCTGGACTTTTTGAAGGGTTCTTGGCTGGAGTCTTCCCAGGAGTCTTGAATGTAGGTTTTTCTGGAGTCTTGTCTGCTTTCTTAAAGTGTCCAAGGAAGTTTGGACAGATGTTCTCCAGGCAGATGAGCGATGCAGCCGACTTATACACTGGTGTGGTGTCACATCAGATTAAACATTGTAAAGTTGAAACTGACATCATAAAGTTAAACAGGGTGTCAATTTAGAAATGTTGTAAGCGCGAAACATTTTACTCGAAACGTTGTAAGTCGAGGACTGCCTGTATTCTAAACCTGACATCAATCCAGAACAGGGTAAAGTTTTACCTGTACTTGTTCTGAATGGAAGAAGAAACTATCTTAAATTGTGTTTTCAGTTCCTTTGTAGAAAGAGGACTTGTAAAAATGGTGTTTATATTTAAAAGCTGTTGGGGTGCTATTTTGTAGGGGTAAGGAGTGAGAAGACAACAGGAAACTTACTGCTAACATTCTCTTTGCAATTCTTTACATGATTGAAATCTCAAAGTATTTTAAAAAAATAACTTAATTCTTTTCTGTTCAGGTTCTTCTGATAGGTAAATCCATAAACTTCTTGCATCAGGTGTGTCATGACCAGACTCCATCTACAAAGATGATAGCTGTGGCAAAGTCTGCGGAAACACCAAAGGATGGTATCGTATCAGGAATGATTTGACTACTTGTTTGAACCTTAGAAAGTGTGCAGTTAGCTCTGGAGAGTGTGGGACTTCAACTATAAGGTGATGTTTTTTTGGGTGGTAGAAGAGGAAAACCCCCCAAAACCTACATATTCATTAAATTTCCTGTATTTTACATTGTCCTCTAAAATGGGTATAGTCAGGGGGTACACGTGGGCAGGCAGGGATGGGGTGTTGCTACCCACCACCCTGTGCCACTGCCTCCCAGGAGCACGGCTGGGGGGGGGTTGAGGGCAGCGGTTCCCCTCTGTGGGCCACACAAATGCTGGCTGGACACTGGGGGGTGAGGGAGGGGGGACAGGCTCAACCAGCCAAGTGTCCCTAAACCTGCCCCTCAGCCAGTCAGGGGGACCATGAAGTGATCATGCCTCTGTCATGATCAAGTCATGATATTTGTGAGCTGGACCAATTATTTAAACTCGGGCCTAAATATAACTCACTGAGGTACTTCAAAGATCAAGAATACAAATGTGTGTGTCATGTATTATTTTGTTTGTATTTATGAGGTTACTTACCCAAAAAAAGAAAAATCTGTTGCTGGTGATACTTAAGTTCTAACCAACCCTATTATGTGTGCCTCTGTATTTTTCTCTTTGTGTAATCTGTCGCTATTCTGTGATCCCCTTAATGCAGTTAGTAATAATATGGTGAGGTAAGGAAGGACTTCTAGTTTTAACTCTGGATTCCTTTGGGGTTTTTTTGTCCTTTTATCTTTATTTGGCCGTGTGTGGGGGGCTTTTTATTGCTTTAATTTTCATTTGTATATTTTATATTGGCATTAATGTATGGAAATAAGAGAATGTGACAGCTCTTAGTGTATTATGAAAATGTAGTCTGACATCAAACCATATTCAATTTCAAAATATGCTACTTAATGAGTGTAGTACAGAGCTTTAGAAATGGTTAATAGCTTTACATACAAGTGTAACATAAGTCATCTTAAACAAATTATTATGGTGCATTAGGAGATGCTGAGTTAGCTTGTAGTTAAGATGCGTTTTATGAAGATACGGATTTAAATAATGTAAAGACGACTTTAGAATATGTGATGTGTCATCTGAATTCTAGTTTGTTTATTGGTAGGGGTAAAATCACTAATCCTGTTTAACATTGTACTTTTTGGAGAAAAGTATTGTCTAGAATGCGTTGTATCCAAGCAAGTTCTAGATGAATGAAAATATTGGCAAATGTTGATAGGCTGTATTTATCACATTGTAATATATTCACTTATTTTAGGTTCTTGGTGTTTCTTAAAATTTTGCTGAACGCAAAGTCCAGTTAGATAACTTGCTCAATTTTATAATTCAGGCATAAATTGTTGAAAACCGAGTGCCAGTAAAGTAGTGGGTCAGGCAAAATTATATGCTTTTAGTGCCATAGAGATTTACTTTGTGTAGAATACCATTATGATAAGAAATATGTTAATGTATATTTTTTTTTAAAGTTGTTACTGAAGAGGAATAAGAGAAACATGTATTATCTCTTCTTTTAATTTAAGAAATGTATGACGTGGTGGATTTATAACGTATGTTACTGAAAGTATGGGTTTGCCAGTAGGAAAAAAAAAAACGTTCTTGTATCTATTTCCAGTCGTATATGGAAGGAAAGAGAGCTATTGTCACTTGCATTTAACTTTTGATATTTTCACTGTAACATTTCAGTGTCTATGGTAGCAATACCAGTAGATTGTAAACTTTCCTGCTGGTATACTTAGATTTTTATATGCCTAACATTTCTACAACATTGAAAGCCTTACTGCCCTAGAACATAAGTCGGTAATCTTCTGTGTGACTTTTGCAAAATATTAGGTAGCTTCACTTCTATAAGCTGCTTGCTGTCCGTGCCAACAAAACGAGAGACTTTTGATTTTGTGGAGATAGGGAACCATATTTACTGTAGCTGTCACATTCTGTATAACCTCTAGTTTGTTTTTGTCTTGGTTTCTGTTTGGAAGAGCAACTGTGTTGTCATCAAATTCTATAGCACTTCTATAAGAAGAAAATATCCCTACTTCCTAATAGGTAGGGGAAGAGAGTGAGGTTATGATTGACTTCTGTGTCACCTTGGAACAGGGTCAAACCTGGGGTTGAAAATCATGAGTTCCTAATTCCCAGTCTCATGTTCAGTCCAAGAAATTGCATTTTCCATTACATTAGGAACCCCCTGTTGTCCCACACTTATTTTTTTTCCACCCCTGCCTACCTTTACACTCTTGGCTCTCTACTGTCCCCCTGCATCTCTGTGAAGGGAGAGGGGAAGCTTAGTGGAGCTGCACATTGCTGCAGGCAGTTCTAGTGCCTCCTGTCTGATCACTAGAGGAGGCAGCAGCATTTTGAAACATTCCAGCCAAGAGCAGGTAGGGCTATACGTGTGCCTCCCCAGCTCAGATTTCATAGACATTAGGGCTGGAAGGGACCTTGAAGGATCGAGTCCGACCCCCTACCCCAGGGTCAAGAAATCAGCTCGGGTCAGAGGACCCCAGCAAGATTCCAGGTGTATTTTACTTGGTTTCAGTTGTTACATCTGTCCACACTCATGGTCTGACATTTATTTTTAAATAGTAGTAATAATCATGGTATTTTAATCTGTGGAGCAGGTATCCTTAGAGGAGCTTTAGAAGTGAAGACCGAGTCATTCAGTTTACTGGACTCGTAATACTAGAACATGAGCTTAGTATGTGAAATTGAAGGAAGAGATTGAATACATAGGTAGAGTTTCTTTATATTTGTATTATTTGTACATTCCTTTTCCAGCAACCCACATTGAGCTGCCTTACACTCAGCAAAGAGAGTGCTCTTTTAAGCTGTCAATCTAAGATGGATATTATTATGCATTATTAGTTTGACCTTCAAGGTTTGTCGTCTTCCTGGTTGATTTGTTAGCTGTGTTTATTTTGCCCCTTAGACTCAAAACACTCTGGAGAAAGGAGTTTCTCCTCAGGCGCAGAACTTCATGGCACGTGATCTTGGGGGCCCCTAGTATAACTCTTCACTCCTCCATGAAGGTTTCCCTGCCTACTGTTGACCATGGAATTATAGTAAAGCCAACGGCTTTGGCATTCATGAGCTCAAAAGTTACCACAGATGGTCTTTATAAGCCTTGACTTCGTTTTGAAGATAATCATAGGTTAACTGGAGGTTGTGACAATGTGGCTAGAAGGCCAGTCACTAATGCTGGGGCTAGATTGAATTGAATAGGGATCTTTGGTGACATCTTGTAGTCAGTTTGCCAACTGCATACGTATCTAGTGACAATTTCTGCTTCTTCCAGTTGTTTGTTTCTTATGTTGGTCACTCAGTTGCCATATCAGATCAAATTGCTGTTTTGCCTTTGTCTATACACTCTTCTTTAATAAGGAAATGATGCCACATGTTGGAAATGTGACTTTTTGGTGCGCTTTATTAGAGAACCCCAGGGACGTGTGTGTACGAATACATCAACAGAACCTTATTATGGCAGGGAAAATCAAGTGATCAAAAATTAGATTGTGTTAAAATGAAAGTTGTCTCCTTTATTCAACACCATAATGTGTATATATTATGATGGTTTTTAATTGCAAGATCAGGGTTTTTTGTTTGGTTCATCCTCAGAGCATCACTTTGCAGTGAGGGAATGATATTAAATCCACATCTTAAAGTTGGGGCACAGGGTAATATTAAGGAGTGCCTTCAAATTGGGGACCAAAAATTAGTTAATCCTGGTGTTGGATTTTTCTATTCCATCCTACCCCCACTTCTCGAATTAGAATTGTATTGTACTCTTTAGTTACTAGCTTACTAAGAGAGTGTCTAAAATTGGTTCATTTTACACCTGTCAAAATCTGCCACGGTGTTACTCTTTGCACCCCTTCTCCCCCTCCAAAAAATAAAGACTGCAAGCTAATTATGCTACATTGCAACTAGAGATTTAAGAGCCGTCTTCATAATACCTATACATACTTGTCTGAATCTGTCCTTTACAAATGTAATCTTCAAATTTCCAACAGATTCTGTCAAGGGGAATTTGATATGGTGGCAATGCATATAATAATATTTCAGGTGTAGGTATGTCAGTCATGCCAAAATGGATTACTGCCTCCTTTCCCATTTTGGATTCTTTTGCAATTTTGAAGTGCGTAAGTACTAGGGTCTGTCAGTCTTGTCCATCCACTGTGTTCCCCCTGCTCCCATTCATGCCACCTTTAATTTTGGATATTTCCAACATCGTGATTTTATTGCGAGTCTTGTAGGATTTTAGGTTTAAAGCCAACGCTCCTGCAGAAATGCTAAGGTAGAATATATTTGCTATCAGCCTTTCTCTTAAGGATGTATATTAATCGTGATTTTTTTGTGGGGGGGTTCTTTTGTATTTGCAGCTGCTGACTTGTTCACAGATTTAGAAAATGCATTTCAAGAAAAGATCGATGCAGCTTATTTTGAGACCAGCAAATACTTGTTAGATGTCCTCAACAAAAAATACAATTTACTGGAGCACATGCAGGCCATGAGGCGCTATTTACTACTTGGTCAAGGCGACTTTATAAGACACTTAATGGACTTGCTTAAGTAAGGCAGCATGGTATCTAGAAAGCTGTGTTGAAAATGTTATTGTCCTATATGGTTAATTAAACAGCCTTGGATATGTATTTTTGAACTTTTAATGTTGGTTGGAATTTGCTTCTCTTCTGTACAAGTTGAGAACGGTAGACTTATGAGACTTTTAAAACTCAGTTGCTCTTATTCCCTCCCACTTCAAGATATGTCCTTGAATGCTTACACTTTCCACCATTTGAACTGTGCTACTTCTGTTAATAGACTTCAGTTTCTAGTACTCTTAAAACACTACTCATCATCACTCTTGTAAAAATAACATTTCTATATATTTTGACTTTTTTATCAAAATTTTTTTTATAAATGTTAACTGCACATACAATTAGAAATTCAGTTGACACCTTAAAAATTAACTTCAGCTTCCTTGAGTGCCAAATTGAGTTTTTAAAAGCATACTTTATGAACTGTTTTGTTTTTTTTACTTTGGTCAAGTTGCTGATGTTTAATGCGTACAGAAAAATTCCATTAAAAAGCTCTCATTTTGTCTATAGAGCAGATCATGTATCATAGATCTTCCATTAACTTGCTAAAAAAACAACTTTGTTTGCCCAGCATTTATATCGATGTACCTGCTTGTGCTTTTTAAGAAAGCAAATAGTGTGTAGCAAAATAAGTAAGGTTGGTGCATAGAATCAATATTACAGTTAAAGCGTAAGTGGTGAGGAACTTTCTAGTAGGGGAGGGATAGGAATGAATCATTATGGAATTTCTTAATGTTTTAGTTAAATTCAATAAGTGTAAGCATTTAAGGTTAGTATCAGTAAATCTCAAAATTGTTAACTACAGTGACTGGCTTACTGGTTGCAACTGCTGTATAAATGCAGATAAAAATTAACGCTTGCTTATTTTGGATGTTACTGTAACTAAGATTGTAAATTGGTTTTAAGATACTAGTACTGCTTGGATCTTACTGATTATTACTCTTGGATTCTAGCATTGATATTTGAGCTTCTGTGTAGGCAAGTAATTTTTTATTTTAATCTCTTGTAATACTATTTCATATTCATTCTGCAGTTGTTCAGGTAAGGTAATAGTCATTCCCTATCTGGAAAGTAAAATTAAGAGGGAAATCTTTAATTGTGGAAACTCTGTAGTTGCTAATTTGCAGCATTGTAGACTTTTATGTAGTGACTTTATTTTGTAATCTGTAGGCCAGAGCTTGCTCGACCAGCTACAACTTTGTATCAGCATAATCTGACAGGAATCCTTGAAACAGCTGTCAGAGCAACTAATGCACAGTTTGACAATCCTGAGATCCTCAAACGGCTGGATGTCAGATTACTAGAGGTATGCTGGGTTGGGCCTTATTGGCTTCTGATGTGAAAGTTTTTTAAGTTTAAAATATCTAAAATAAGCTATTTTGGGGGTCAGCCTGAAGGGAATGTTCAGAATTTGTACATGTTGTGCTACATTGTTTAGTCTGCTAAAACTGCTTTGTACTGTGTACCCAGCATACCTTGGCTTCAATATAGCTTGAGATTCCCAGCAAAGCATCTCCCCAACCTCTGTCAAGTTGAGATGAATTTTTCTGCTGGTTGAGAGGTTATACCACATCTTTCATTTATCTGTTGCCTTCCCTAAGTATAAGTTTTGTTGTGCTTGAGCCTTTGCTGGCATATCCCTTATGCTAGCTGTGTAATACACAACAGGTTCCCAACTAAGCAAACTTATTCAAGAGACCCTAAATTTGGGTCTTTTCTTGTAACTAATGGCATGGAATTATGAAGAACGTGAACAGTGAATATTTTAAGTGCTAGCCTTGCATCAAAGGGACTTCTGGACTTTGGAGTTTAATGAGGAAAACATGGTGCTTAGGTCTGAAACTTGTCTAAATTACATTAATGTTAAGCCATCGCAAACTGAGAAGCTTTTGCTCCTTCTGACAACTTTTTGGCAAAGACTGTTGCTATGGGGTTTTTATAGCATGTCAGGTACTAGTGAGCAAGACTTTTTCAACAACATATGCATACTAAACTAAAGGCAGCATTTTTTTTTTAAATATAGGTATCTCCTGGTGACACTGGATGGGATGTTTTCAGCTTAGACTATCATGTTGATGGACCTATTGCAACAGTAAGGCTACATATTGCAGCTTGTGCGCATTTCTTAGATACCAACTTAGATTGCTATGTACTTTGTTATTGAAATAGCCTTTTTATTCTAGAAATGCATGATTAAAGAGATTATTTGGCATCTAGGATGCATCCATTGTATTAAGAGTTCAGCCAAAATCTCAATTTCTCTAAAATATTAATGAGTGCTAAAATGCTACATTTAAAACATTCATTATTTAAAATAAATAATTCATTTGTTCCAACAGATTTTAGCAAGTACTTAATAAATGGATTGTTCATTTCTTTCCATTATTCCTAGACTGTAGCAACTAATTTGGGATAATTTGCAAGGAGCTGTAAAATGTATTTTATGGCAACCTATTTGTACTATTTAAATAAAATTTGATATGTAGTATTCATTAGAACTGATGAGAAAATAGCTGCACTATTATTGAAAATGCTTTTATTATATATAAAGAATAGCAGTGCATTTTTTACTAAGATCTTGGAGTAAGAGTTTGACCAGTAGAAGGAATTTCATAGAGGTATAGTTAATGAGAGGAGAAATAGCTCCTCATGCTTCTCATTTGTAAATCCCTTCCCATGCTCCCCATCCAGTGGAAATTGAAAGTCCACAAAACCTCCTGAAAAGATTTTTCGGGTAGGCTCCAAGTATTTATAATGGGAATGTTGATGGCACTGTAATTGTGGTGGAGCTCTCATCTATGGTAGATAGAAATTGGCAAAGGCATCAATAGAAATAAGGAAGATTGTCTTACTTCATTTCACATAGCCATGTCACTTATCTGTAGAGAACTACACGTTTTAATTTTCCCAATCAAGTCAAGAGTACGATATAGTAACATTGATTTACATTTTAGTTATATTCTGGGGGTCTTTTCAGTTACAGATGTGATCATTTAAAAGGGAAAAAAACCTCCAAAAACCCCTATGTTGTTAATACATGCAGTTTCAATGTACTTTGGATCATTGCAGATGCTATGGCTCTGCAGTCTGGAGTGTTGTATTAGGACTCTGAAAGCCTGCAGCTGCTGTTTCAACCAACAGGAAAATGCCTTAAAGGAGCACCGTGTGTCTTGCACTAGAGTGCATTTTAAAATTTTCCTTCAGCTGATACTTCAGATGTCTGTGTATCTGAAGTTTTTATCTTTTAATGGATTATAGTTTAAAATTTGCAGCTGTGTGTATGGCAGGGAGGTAGGTAAAACAGATTAAGAGGAAATAATGATTAGAACTTCAGTGTGTCTAAGTGAGCCCAGGCTGTTTAGTATGCTTCCTTATACCAGTAGATGAAGTTGCAGGAGTGAGGGTAGCAATGTTATTCATAAGGTGCCCTTTCGCTGTACAGAAGGGGTTGGCAACCTTTTAAGAATGGTGGGCTGCCTCTTACAGCCTGGCTATTGATTTTCCCCGCCCCCCCCTGCAGTGCCCCAGCCCTCCCTGCTCGTGTTGAGGGCTGCTTTTTGCACATCCCTGACTCTGCAGCCTCTACTCACTGTCAGTATCAATTGCTGTAGACTGCCATTGCCACTAGTGATGATGAGTAGTCCTGAATTTAGCAGCAAGGGTAAGCACAAGCTGCAGTGGCACAGTGAGAAGACTAGCCCCTGGCACAAAGCTGGGGAGGCCCCCTGCTGAATGCTATGCAGGGAGGGGGTCAGTGGCATGAGGCAGACAAATGTACAAGAGAGAGCGAGCCCTGCTCTGACCCATGCTGTCACAGGCTGCAAATTGTGGATCCCTGCTTAAAGGGATTATATACCCAGTCCTTAATTTGTTTTCTTGTCTCTATCGGGTTCTGAGAGGCAAAATGAAAGAACTGGATATTAGCCTCTGGGCTGATTTTTCAGATGACATGCAGTTACCCAGGTTGCATCTATTGTGGGAGATAGATGGAAATGGAGCTTGTACATTTCTGCAAACTGGGTTTTGATTTTCTTCTTTTTTTCTTCTTTTGACTCTTCTCCATCCTGTACATTGTTGATTTTAGTTAGGGTTAGGGCAGAAGTGTTTCATAGTGAAAGCTTGATTTATTTTATTTATTTATTTATTTTAACTAGTGTACAAATGCTCTTGAACTCTGCAGAAGTAAATACTATCACATATGGTCTAGTAATTTCATTGGTAATACATTGCCACTTCTTGCAGTCAAAGAGTACTTGAGGAAGGATGATCACAATTGTCACACTTTTATTCAGCTTCTTTGGCATTTGAAGCATATTGTAAATAAATACCACAAGTCCTGATTTTTTTTTTTTTAAGCTTTAGAGTTAGATCAAAGCCTAATCTCTCAGTCTTGCAAAGCTTTGAGTGCATTTGCACCCAAAGGTTCTTTGTGGCAAATGAGTGCTCCTCTTTGCCAGCATTTATTCCACCTCTGAGTACGGTAAGGGTTCTGCTGATACCTGGCACCTGACTGAAACTGGTTGCCTTCAGTGGGCTATTGCAATCTGTTCATCAGCTGGTACTGTCCCAGGGTGTACTTTGCACTTTGGCAGAGAAGTTGAGTAGATCTTCCTGGAACTTCCATAGTATCTGGTGGCAGAGTCGAGTAAGTGTAGATGCAGACAGATACAGGATTGGCCTCCCACTGCCTGCTTATGTATGATAGTGAAGAGGATGGCAGTTTGAGATGACTCATCTCAACTGTGGAAAGGTGTAGTGGCTCTGAATATCAGAACTACTTGGGGTGTAAGCAGATCTTGCACTTCACCAGAAGAAAGCCTTTATCTTGGTTTAAGTACCTGTGAAGTGTACAGGATAAAATATGCTAACACTTTTTTTCCCCGGGGACATTGGTGTGTGTGCCTAAAAGTTAATGGTGGGTCATTCCTCTAACAGGGAATTTAGTGGTCCTGTTACTTGAAGAGGAGAGAGGCTGCAGACAGGATGGGTGTCCTCAAGGGAAGGCACCTGGGTGGAAGGGGGCTGGATTTAGAGAATATATAAGCTCAGAGCCTGTGTTGGGGCAAACAGTCTGTCCCTGGAGCCCATGGAAGGAAGAGGCTTGCAGAGGAGCACCTGATTCACACCAGAGATGCATTTGATCTCAGGAGCAGGGAAAGCAAGTCATATATTGTGGGCTTGCTTGGAGAATGTCAGTGGTTTGGGACTGGTGCTAGTGGGGAAGGTCAGAGGTCCCAGCAGGCCTGGGAGCAGGGTGGAGGCAGGATTAAAGATGGGGCTAGAGAGGGGCAGAGGCGGGGCTAGAGAGCCCAGTGCCCAGGGAGGGGTGGAGAGAGCAGACTAGGGCCAAGAGTCCATCAAAATGATTGAATGATGACAGAGTCTGGGAGTAGGGTGTGACCTTGATTGATTGGTAACATCGGTGAGGCTTGGGCATGGCTAGAAAGGGAGAAGAGGTGGCCATGAAATTAGCCCTTAAGGTGACGAGTAATTAGAACGTAGTTTGTGAGTGGATGAGATCTTGCTCGGGGATCTCTGGGCAGCCTTCCATTTCTAAATACATATTTACACCAGAGCATGGCAAGTGAGCAGACAGGGAGGTGACCTCAGGAACAGAGGCTCAGGCACCACCAGGGGGCATCACGGCCACCCCTGGGGCAGGCCTTTTGTTACGTTCTAGAGACAAGCCTATCAGACAGTGTTCTCAATGCAGCACTTACCGGAGTCAAACATGGGACTATCTGAACTCCCTAAAATAAGACATAGGTACACTGCCTCCCTACTGCCAAGGAGTGCCTCAAGTAAAACACAGTATGCTTACTCTGTGCATGCTACACCCTGTAGTGAATGCAATGTAGCATCCTTATTGTGGTGCTGGGTATGTACCAGAAAACTCATTGTCTTAAACTCATTTGTGGTCCCTAGTGGCACCTCAGGGACTCGGCACTAAAGCATCGTGTAAAGAGAGAGATTTCTTTTTTTCATCAGGAGAAAACAGTGATAAAACCTATATGCCTCTTTTTCTTTTTTCTAAAGATAGTTTCCATTTCCCGCTTTAGTCAATCAGTTGCATCTTGTCTGATTCAATGGAGT